GTACATCACGTGGCTCCGGTGGATCTGGCGGTAGCCAGAAATCCAAACGTGGAAAAGGTTCTTCTTGTAACCCGGCTGCTGTTTGCCATGCCTGCTGGGGAGAAACTAAACGTGGCCATGCTTGATACTCCCGCTGCGAGCTCCTCTTTCTCTTTTTGGTGAGCCTGAAATCATTAAACGCGAGGTTCATGATAAGTCTTCAATGTTTCCAGTTGCTGCGTGTGAGCAAAGCAGGAAAGTCAAGTTTTCGATCGGCAAGTAAGCTTGCACGCTAAATCCCACATGGACAAGGCCTCAAAGCTCGAGGCTTCTTCGTTGATTGACGGGCTGTGCGCAGACGCGTTCTATGCTTTCAACTGCGCTCTGGACACGGATCTGAGGTTTCTTCCGCCGTGCTTCCGACCCAACGAGGCTCAGCAGATCCCTGGTCAACGCCAAGGCCAAGATCCTGATCCCGGAGACTTCACAGTGAGAGGTGGACATTGCGCACGAGGTTCCCGCGTTCTGGAAGAATCGAATCCTTCGACCCGGAGTGTTTGTTGGCGTGCGCGCCAGTCCGATTCGAAGTGCTCGGACTTTCAGTATCATTCCTCTCGGAAAGAAGGACATTGACGCCCTCAAAGGAGTCCTTTGCCAAATGGCTTGAGAGAAGACTTGCAACGCATTCCATTCTACCATGAGTACTTGGTACGCGCCGACCCAGCTGCCGTCCACCGTGAAGGAGTGGAACGAGCCAAGGGTCGTGGAAAGGGTTCATGGAGGACCGGAAGCCGACGTCACGATCGTTACCCATATACGCCGGGTGAGACAGGCAACTATCCTCATCGTCGCGAAGCGCGCAATTGGCAGGGTCTAGAAGATGACGCAGGGACAGTGCCAGCGTAGCACTACGCCGATTGGACTTGGTACTATGATCACTACGGCGCAGACTGGTGGCCGTGGTGTCTCTATCGGGATGACAGTTGGGCAAAACTTTTCAAAGCTTTCAGCTTGTTTGTGATAGCGCTGTGTCAGGAGTGGTGTCATGAAAGCTTCCATGAAAGTCCAAGCATGCACTGCAGAAGCAGATGCCTTGACCTTTCTTTTTGCAGGACATACCACATCTTTTGTTTGGCGTTAAATTATTATGCGCCGAAGTGCACTCTTCCCGGAGCATCAAGCTGCATTCCACGTGAAACGTGTGCGTCGCCTGTCACTTGAACCGCTGTGGATGCATGAGAAAATCTATTGCGTCCACTATTCCTTCGTTCGACCGGCGTGAACTGCATTAGAACGTTTGCCATTATCCTTGCTCCCCGTGTACGTCTCAGGTCGGCTAAAGAACTGTGAAAGCCAAAAGGCGCGTACAGGTGTGCGGGGAACCGGGAGTCGGTGACACGCACGTTGTCCCATGTGGATACGTGTGTACAGTATAATTCACTAGTCAACCAAGTGCGTTCAGCGGGGTTGTTTTTGCAGCGCTAGTACATGGTACATTGGGCTCGAGAAAAAAAACGCTCTGGCTCTGCTTGTTGGTGCTTTTAGGCTGCTGGTCTGTAAATTCAATAAAAGATTGACATATCATAGATTGAAGATTGACAACTGCTCAAACAATTCCTATTTGGTTCTTGGATAGTCACAGCTTGTTTGGTTACAGTTTTCATTCTTTGCTCTACTCCAGCAGAGGACTGACAGCCCCAAGCACTCACAAGGGTCATGTCTCATTGAGACCAGGAGAAAGAAGTTGAAGATCGTCGAACATTGCAGCTTCAAGGCCAGAGTTTTGAGGGTGCAATCGAAAGCACATGGTGCGCTGAAAAAACCGTAGTGGAAAAATAGATCAACTTAAGAAACGGGCCCCCAGCAGCCTTGCGGAACTGATATGACTCGACCGCGATTTGTTGGTAGGTGTGTTTGTGTGTTGTCAGACTTCTTCTCCTGTTCTTTCTTAAACCGTCCCTCCTTCCTTCTCCCTCACCCACCCACTCATTCACTTACTCACTCAGTCAGTCAGTCAGTCAGCCAGTCATTTGCTTGAGTACCAGCGCTTTTTTTGTGCTAGCCGCGCGTCAGCTCCGCGCTAGACGACGGTACGTGGCCCACCATTTTTTGATTCACTTTGGCAATCATTAGCTCTTCATGTTCGCTGAAGCTCTGGGCTGTGGGGGGTTGCTGCGAAATGTCGTCGTAACTCGTAACCAACTAGCAGCATTCCAGCAGCGGCAGCAACAGTAGCAGCGCCAGCCTCCGTTAAGTTTCTGACCTTGTTTTGTAAGATACATGTGCCCTTACGTGAAATGTAGAAGCGGGCCCGCATGGAATTGCAGTGAGTGCACCATTTTGGGAACAGAGATTCTGACAACCATCCACATGTTCTTTCTGTTTTTGCAGTTTTGTTTGGTAGGTCAGCTTGCCACGATACAAAAGGTTTTGGGCATTGATGCGAAGCTCTGAGAATTGAAATTGCAACTCTATTTCTTTTCTCTCTCTCTCTCTCTCTTTCTTTGACCTCATGGCAGTAGCAAACATGCTCAGGCTGAAGATGGTGGCGTCCTTGGCTCTGAGTCTAAGAATGATGTGACATTGATGGCGCGGAGGTCTTTCTACGCTGGCTGCATGGCGCTTGGTGGGCAACATCAGTGGCTTCGCAATTGATGCTGACCGCTCGGACCCAAGGAGTTAAAGTGCAGCTATGCACATTTCAAGCGAATTGTACGGTTCCTGCAAATCAAACTTGAACACAGCAACATCCAAGCCAGCGACACCTCTCCGAAGCCTTCATTCAGTTTCACCGCATCTATGGTCTCCACCCTCAGAGGCGCTTTTGAAGAAGGCAGGTCACATTTATTGATAGTCTACCCGCTGCCTGACACGTGCATTGACACAATGTTCTGACACTTGTTCTGGCATCAACTCTGGTTTGTGTTCTGACACGTCATTTGTCATAAAGTTTTTAAAGTTTGGGAAATGTCTTAGTTTGTTCTGATATCTCAGGGTATGTTACGGGTATGTTACATCCACTAATTTGCTTTTGCAAATTGTTTCTTCAACAAGTAACCAACTGTATCTGCAATTGACACCTATTGAAATGCATACTCTGTCCGGGTTCATAACAGCGTGTTTGCAGCGGACAAACAGGGTTCAATATTTGCTGTTGCACTGGGCCGCGAGTTCCTGAGTCATCAAGAGGCAGTCACACTTAACAATATTTTGGCTAAAGACCCCATACAGTGATAGGGAACACAAAAGCAAGCAATTACACGGAAGACATGGTGGACCATTTTGCTGGTGTTGCTGGTGCTGTGAAACCCTTCTACGAGCGCGAAACAAGGGGCACGTTTTGATGGAGGTGTCAATGTAGCGACGCCCTTCTATGAGCCTCGCGCCAAACGGCACAGGATCTGCGTGCAGAAAACAAAGGCAGGGACCACGTCCAGTGTCACGGTCTGTTCGCACTCGCGCAAGAGCATTCAGTGCTGTGAGGCCGTGAGCCTCACGCAGGGGATGTTCTTATGCGAGGGTGAGACAAAAGTTAAAGTTGCCAAAGTGTGTTGCGAAACAAAAAGTGCGTGTTGATATGGGCGTGCCAATGCTCACAAAGCACTGCACCTGCCGCGAAATGTGCACATGGATATTCGCAAGTGCTGTGCCTGCCACGACATTTGCACACCAAGATTCACATCGCGCAGCCCTGCCAGTGCATTTCGCAACACAAGCACTTCCAAAGACAAGTTCGGGATGAAAAACCAAGCTTTCTTCTGAAAAAGAACCACAGGCCCAAAGATCACGATTCACCGCACCTGTCACGAAGTCAATGCGCCGAAGACCACGACCAAGTTCAAAGTGCTGCGCCTGCCACGAAAAGTCGACTTCAGGCCACCGCCGAAGCACGAAGATAAGTCCGAAATGGACACGGCACCACAGGGAGGCAAGCGCCGCGCTTGCCCAGCAATTTGTGTGATTGTCGAAAATCAGCTCGAAGATCTCGCAAGGCGTGAATGTGTGGTGTAAATAGGCGACTTAGCTGCTTACATATGTGAGCACCCTCGACTTAACACCTCCCTAGTGTGACCACTACTTGGTTAACAAGCGATCAACGGAAAGTGTGGAAAGCTTCTTGAAAGCCAAGAGACACATTTGCTAATGAGTTTGAGCTCATCAGCTTTGAGTAAGGTGTCGCTGCTAGGAGCACAGTCCTTGAGCGTCGACAGGGAGACTGGATGCGACATGCTGCCAAGTTGTCTTGCACTTGGATTGTTGTGCCTCACAGCTCCTTGCTTCCTTCTGGATCGTAAGAACCATCAGGTTGGCAGGATGTCCATTGAAACAGGCACCGCGGCGCTGCCGCATCTTTTGCATGTCAGTCAAAATGCTGTTCGATTGGGCTTGTGAGATATTCGCAAAAGCTTGTCCTGAGCGGCTTTATTGGCTTTATTACCTTTTTTCCTCTCTCTCTCTCTCTGCAGTAAAACTGTTGTGTTTCAGTCTTTTGCATATGGCCTCTGAGTCTGGACCCTTGCAGGGAAGTCACCACTTTGGAGGGGTGGAAACACCTTGTAATTTCAGCAGATTGTAGTACTGAAGGGTGGAAAACCAGTTCCTGAATCAATCGCGACAAACATTGATGTCTTGAAGCCAGGTTTCTTCAGATTGAAGGACTGACCATTTCAAGGAGGTCTGAAGAACGCACTACAAAGAAGCTGTTCGCAGAAAAGGTTCGTGCACATGGTCGGACGCCACTTTTGAGATTCGTTCAATCTCCAGACATAGACTCAAAGTAGTGACTCGTGACTGCACAGTTAGAGAAGAAAACAGAGAAGTAAGAAGTAGAAGAAAAGGTAAGGCGCTCTTTAATAAGGCCCGGCCTTTTAGTGGCGGTAGATTGTAACATTGTAGTCTCCGCTGCGATCTCTCTAGATTCAGTGGATTTTTGAAACGTTCGCAGAAAGGCACGCATGGTCTGGCACGCCTCCATAATTAGAAGATAGTGAGGGAATTGTTTGATCCCTTCGTTTCCACAGGTACATTATGGAATTGATCGAAATCGAAGAAAAGGCTAGAAGGCTTGTTGTGCAGGCTGGGGCGCAGCACTTCTACTTCTTGTACAGTAATTAGCAGGTATAGACACACCATGGTGATTGTACTTGCATATAATAGCTACAGCTTCTTCCTGTGTAGATGGCGAGGCCATCGAGCGTGAAAGACAATTGCACTTGATAGAGGTGTGGTCGAACTGATTTGGTTGAAACCACTTGGCAATGAGTTCGAACATCAGTGCATGTTGTTTCTTAGGCGCGCAATGTTCAACCTTTATGTCAGCAAGTCGAGTACAAGGAGGCACCTAAACAAATCTCAGCCTTCTGAAGTGTTTTGCAACAGCTGAGATGTATTTTGCTCGAATGTAGGATTCGTTTGAAAGGGCTCAATTCTTGAAGTCATGTAAGCTGCTTGTGCTGCTCAAACGCAATACGTACTCTCAGACAAACTTCTGGCACGAAGGAAAATGAAACGAAGAGGCGCACAGGCGCAAATCGCTTTAGTTTATCTTTGAGGAACTCCGGAGCTTTGTGGCCTGCATCGCCCATCTCAACTCTGTAGCAAATGTTCGACGCAAGGAGCGCTCAGCTTCTTGCACACAGTCTTTTTGCTGAACAGGCATCACTTTAGTTGAAGCATTATAGAAGATGGTTATGCGGGTGTTTTGCCCTACCACGGTTTGGGACTTTTTGCATAAACGGCAAAGAATTTCAATACTCTAGGAATAGAAGATGAACAGGAAACAATGAATAAAGGATGAATAATTCCTTTCAATTTCCTTTGAATAATATACATTGATATAATTCCTTGCATTTTCCCTTTGAACAATGATCAATTCCTTTCATTTTCCTTTTTAAAACATAGCACTTCTGCTCATTACTTTGCAAAAGAAAGTGAAAGGACTTATAATCATGTTTAAAGGGAAAATAGAAAGAAACCATCAAATAGAGCTGGACATGGAATAAAGAGAAAAGAATGACAGTGATAGTACTCCAGGAATAAAAGATGAAAGGGGAACACTGATAAAGGATGAATATGTCCTTTCAATTTCATTTAAAAAATGCTAAGTTGATATAATTCCTTGCACTTTCATTCGTTCAAGACCAAAGGTGAAGGCAATTCGAAAGGTTCAGACAAAGGCAAAGGTAAGGCTGAGAAAGGATCAGAAAAAGGAAAGAAAGGAAAGAATGAGAAAGGAAAGCCGAAAGGAAAACGTGCCACTGAGTTTCAACAGCAGCCCGAATCAGAAGTCGGAAGTGAGTGGTCTGAGCCAGAACTTGAGAACGGGGGTCGCTTGTCCATGTTTTCGTTCGATGCCGTTGCTCGACCGTTCTTCATCTGTCAGAATATGGACGCTTCAGACCCGATGTTGTGGCTTGTTGACTCAGGTGCCAGCCGAACTGTTATTTCCACCGAAGCACTTTCGGCCTATCGAGTGTTGCGAGAACGAAAGCTATCGTGTCCGATTCACTGTCGCACTGCATCAGGAGAACAGGTTCACATCGATCATGAGTGCATGCTTGAAGTAAGCTTTCCCAACATCATCGAACACGATGATCATGATCGTACTAAGTTGGTAAAGTATGAAATTAGAGCAGTTGTTGGACCTGTTGAGCACAATCTTCTGAGTGTTTCAGGGTTGACAAGGTTGGGAGCCACTTTTGTTTACGGACCTGACCACTGCCACATTCGTGTAGGCGAAATCAGGAGATTGGATTGCGAGATTTGGAGCAGTGTCCCTTGGATCCGTGCCCAACATCGAAAGCACCGTGGGAAGGACCACGACATTGAAATCACTCAAAGCCTGGCATTGGAACCTTGGGTGAACGAAAGTTCGGATTATGAAGCATCAAAAGGTGATTTAATTGCATGGTTTCAGAACAACCCAATGAGTGACACGTCAAAGGATGATAGTTCTGATGCTCAATCCCCATCCAAGCCGAGTGAGAGTCCAGTGAGATTTTCCTTCTTTGGGTCAAAGAGTTCTCCAAAGGGGTCATTGGACAGGAGCGGATCGTCCCATCGTCTCAACATATTGAAGTTCGATGATCAACCAGAGATCAAAACCTACGAGATCGAATCTAGATCCAGTCGAATTGAGCCCAATCGTCACACCACGTATCGACATGAGGGATTTTTGCATGTTGCCGAACAGCCACTGCCACCGTTATCTGAGATCGATTTGGGTGGAGATGCATCATCGATGCCCAAAGAGCCTTGTTCGTCGGGTGAGTCGGCCGGGTATCCGAGTTACTCGAAGAAGGTAGATCAAGAGTTGTCCATGCGCCGACGAAGAGGCCACATTCCTTTTGACAGCCGCTGTACTCATTGTGTGAAAAGTAGATCTACATTAAGGCATGGCCGTGTAAGCAATTCGAGTTCCACACCTGGTTGAGAACACCTCGTTGAGCAGTTTCGGAGAACACCTCGTTGAGAGTTGAAGTATTGACGGACAGTGAACCGTTGATAGGGAGCTTGATGAAACGGTTGGGACTTCCGTTGACGGTGAAGGCTGCAGCACCACAAGCTCATGAATCCATTGGCCTCGCCGAGAGGAACGTGAGGAGAGTGAAGGAAATGACTTCCTGTATCAGGTCTGATATGCGCATTCACGGTTTCGACTTGTCGGGAAGTCCAGAGAGTTTCAGCAAGATCATGCAGTACGTCTCCCAAATACACAACCACTTTGGAGTTGGGGGATTTGTTGGACAATCAGTTGGACTTGAAAGCCGTCGAACACCGATCGAGCTTATCTCGAACAAAGACCGGCCAAAACCAGTTTCGACGTTGTTCGGAAGCGTGTGCCACACCCAAGTTCCTGATTCTTTGATCGATTCGGTTCCCGAGAAGACTCGCTTCATTCCAGCAGCATACCTTCATGTGAAACCCAATTCATTGGCCCACGTTGTATCAAGTAGAATCAATGGTCGAGAGTACACCTTTCAGGCAGAAGCGAAGCCCCTCAATCAATCAGATCTTATGGGACATCGATGTAGCCCCGAGCCTGTTGAAAGGCGTTGGGAAGACTGATGCATCAGCGCTGGAATCGAAGCCGGCAGCACCATTGGACGATCAGGTCGGTGTCGCTGAGCCGTTACCGTTGAACGGTCCGCCTCGAGAGTGGGTGAGGGATCACGGTCCGACACGTCAATGCGGTGCTTGCAACTCGTCATCTAGGCATGGAAAGAAACACAGTGCTGGATGCTGCAGACGATATAGAGACTGGGTCCTTTAGATGTGCCGATGCCGGGAGACGATCGATTGCTTGAGTCAGGAGATAATGAGGAGTACACTCCAAGCGAACCTCCAAATCCCGAAGATGTACACATGCCAAGTAGTGAAGATCCTGATCCAAGTTCGATGCCAATGGACGTCTCGCAGTTTTTCGAATGGTTGAGTTCAGCTCCATAGACGCTGTACCATCAAGGTGGTCGTAATGGTTTGATTTGCCCCCTGTACGTTCCCAACAAAGACTCAGGACCATTGAGTACGGAACCAATGACTTTCTGTGGAACTGTCATTTACTTGGTGGAGCCATCATTCGGAATCTCGGAAGACGGATTAATTCGACTCTGCCCAGAGCTTGTCGGGTCAGGGAGAGCCATCGAACTCAAGGCAATGGATACATTGTACGTTGGACGACCAATGAGGTCAGAAGAAGCCCAAAGCCTTGCAAAGGACTTGAAGGTAAAGATCATTTTCCTTGTCGATGGATTCTGACCAAAGACCGTAGAAGGAGTGCCTGGACAATGCCGTGCGAGGTGCGTTGCACAGGAGATCGCAAGCGGTGGAGCATCTGCCCAGAGTCTAGGTATCTCAAGTACAACTCCCAGTATAGAGGCATTTAGATGTTTCCTGACCATGGTTCAATATCATGATATGCATCTGGCTGGATTAGATATTTCAACGGCATTTCTCAACAGTGACCTTCCACCAGGGATTCGTGCGATTGTTAGATTGCCAGCAGACTGTTCGTTTGAGAGCACATACTATGAAGGGGTATACTTAGACTTGCACAAATCCATGAATGGCTTGTGAGTTGCCTCCAAGAGTTGGCTCCAAACGTGTTCGCGAATCCTGACAGAGAGGGTGGATCTTGTGACTTGCATGTCCGAGCCCACTGTGATGTGCGGTGTCTCCAAGAAGTCAGGTTGTCCCACAGCAGTCGTGATCTATGTAGATGATTTGCTAGTGACTTCAACTTCATTGAATGGAATCTCGGACGTTCGTGAAGCATTGCGGGAGACGTTGAAAGTGAAAACGACAGGAACCCTCACGACGTGGAACAATTGTTTTTCTTGGACGACGCATTGTACGACCTGCCGGATCGAGTGACGTCTTGCTGCGAGTACCGCCAGACTACTTGAAAGACTTGTTCACGAATGATCCATTTTGCTGTGACCTCAAGCCACCCGATATTCCCCCGAACTTGTTGGAAGTGTTGGAAAAGGGAGTCAAAGACCCAACATGTGTGCAACCCTTGTCGGATGAAGCGGCTTCGAGATACAAAAGGATCATTGGAAAGCTGTCGTGGTGGGCGCAGTCAAGGCCTGATCAATCCCGATTTCTCTCCATCCTTGCCACCAGACAGGCAACGCCCAGTAATTTGCACGAGACTGCACTTCGCAAGTACCTTGGGTACGTGAGAAGCCAGTTGCACCTGTTTCAGCGTTTTCCAGCAGGAAACGAGGTGTTGCCCGAGTATGATGGCTTGGTCGGTGTCAGTGACGCCTCTTGGGGTTCGAGTGACCTTGAACGACGAAGATCCACAAGTGGAGGATTGATATTTTGGCAGGGATCCCTTGTGAAAGGTTTCAGCCGCTTGCAGGGATGTGTAACACTTTCATCATGTGAAGCAGAGATCATCGCAGTGTGTCAGTTGACTCAGGAGTGTTTGGGGATTCGCCATCTGACCGAATTTCTTGAGAACTTTGGTGATCGAAACATGTTGATGAAGCTGTCCACCAAAGAGTTCTTGGACTTGAAGTTTGATGATGTCGGCAAACCAGGTGATCACTACCCAATCCTGATCTTTTCGGATTCGCAGTCATGTCTTGGTGCTTTGAGCAATCAGGGTTTGAGTAGGAGAGTTCGACATATGTCCATTTCGGTTTGCTACATCCAGTCGTTGAAGGATTCAGGTAACCTTGCTTTGGAATGGTTGCCAGGGACCAAGTGCACCGCAGATTTGCTGACGAAGGTGCTGTCGAAGGAAACGAATGATTTCCATAGAGCCCAGCTTGGGATCATCGAGATCTTGGGACAGGAAGAATGGCAAGTGATCACGAACAAAGAGTTGAAGAAACAGTCAAAGAAATCTGACGTTCAGGTTGTCGAAGTCCATGATGATCCAAATGTCGAAGACCTTTTAGAAGGACCTGTCGGTTGGAGGGCTTGAAGATTGAGAGTTTTCTGCAACATGTCCAAGCGGATGTCAAGGCTGGGAGCGTGACCCATGTGATCATCGAATTGTGCACCAGTTTGAATGCAGGGTTGTCCCAAGGTATTGGTTCTGTCAAGTCAGGTCATTGCGTTGTCGTTCCTGTTTCAAAAGAAATCGATTTACGTTGTGTTCACA